GGTCCATCTCATCTTTGATTCTTCAGCATAAGCACCCTTCCCTTTCCACACGGCGTTAAAGGACGCTGAAAGCATTTTCATCCTGCTTTCGGATAGTCCAAGTGCCCGAGACGTACGTCAAAGCAGGAAGGGCAGCAACAGTGTCGAAAAGAATGGAGCAGAGCCGGATGTTCTTTGCCTTCTTCACTGCTCCTCGACTCCTCGATATTCTTGAATGCTTTCCAGGTGGCGCTTTTGATTCTCCTGAGCTCCGGAGCTAGGTCGTTCACCGTGTTCACTTCTAGATACAGTTAGATAAAGCTCTCAGAAATATTCGTCACGCCTAGCGTAAAGGGAACATCAGGTACCAATCCGTTTCTCATGATTATTGACTTCGACTTCGAGGCTCACTGACCTGACGCTGACAAACCAATTCCCTATAATTACGACTCTTATGAGAAGGATGGAAAAATTCTTTCTCAAAATGAGCTGCTAACTGGAGGAAAAGCTGCTGGGTTAGCTTGCGCCGACTTCCAATCAGGTTACCTTCCAATCCATAGATCGGTTGGTTACAATTGGTGAGCTCTCATACTTTTAGAAGAGGTAAGCGCTCGAAAACAGCCAACACTCAAGAATATCATTTTCTCTTCAATATACTCTGATCCAAGGACTACTTGAAAAATTGAGTGTAACCTTAATTACCGTCGAATTGGTAAATAAGGCTACTTCTGCTCACGGGTAAGATCATGCGCAAATGAGTATTTTTCATGGTGCGTCCTTCTCATATTTCGAAGGGTTCAGAAATTAACGATGTCCTTGTCCAGTGATGACATCGAAGTTCATTTCGTCATCCACGTTACACACGGAAACGCGATACCGACGGCATGTTCTCCATTACCAATGACCATTTTTATCGGGAGATCCTAGAAAACTTCTTTGGAATAGGTCAGGCTGGAAAGCGTGGATTTTTAGAAATCCATGATCCCACCTCTACCTTCCTCCTGAGTCCAGAAACTTCCTTCAACTTTTGAAACACGTCTACGGAAATAGTATGGCATACATTCTACTGTACTCACAATATTATTTTCGATCTTTGATCCTATTAGGAGCTGGATAATTATTCATCTCATCACAGTGAATACTGAATGTCTAAATGCGAATCAGTGGGCAGCAATGGCTGGCTGAGGGTGAGCGTTGATCCTCATCAGAATCATAGGAATAATCTACATATAGCGTGATATCGGTGGTTCACGTCATCTTTTCTAATAGCACGTTATGGGAGTAGCGACAAGTAACAAAGCTGGGATTTATTTTTTGCATCATCTGAGGATTTAATTTCGTGCTCATCCAACGTGAAGCATAAGTTTTCTAAAGAATATTGACTCGATGTCTGTACCACCTCCGCTACTCCCCTTTCATCTGAAAAATTATAATATTAGGAATTATCCTGCAATTTTTCGCTNACTGTACTCACAATATTATTTTCGATCTTTGATCCTATTAGAAGCTGCATAATTATTCATCTCATTACAGTGAATACTGAATGTCTAAATGCGAATCAGTGGGCAGCAATGGCTGGCTGAGGGTGAGCGTTGATCCTCATCAGAATCATAGGAATAATCTACATATAGCGTGATATCGGTGGTTCACGTCATCTTTTCTAATAGCACGTTATGGGAGTAGCGACAAGTAACAAAGCTGGGATTTTTTTGCACCATCTAAGGATTTAATTTCGTGCTCTTCCAACATCAAGCATAAGTTTTCTGAAGACTAATCACTTAATGTTTGTAACACCTTCGCTACTCCCCTTTTACCTCGAAAAATGATAGAAATCGGAATTATTCTGCAGGTTTTCCTTCCCAATTTTGAAGAAGCGATCGTGATAAAGCAATAGGATGTAACCTTTCCAAACTATACTGTCGACTGATGATGACCATTTGGTATCGTTCAATCGAGCTAAGGTATGACAGGTGAAGTGAACGATTTTGACCAATTTGAATCACGCTTAGAAGCACAGTTCAGCCGAATCTCTTGAACTGTCAAATGCATGGCCCATGCCACACGACGATTTTATGATGCCATGTGCACTACGATTTAAAGACGCTGATGGCGCGGAATACCCACATAAGCCGTTTTCATTTTCCGGTAGCATGAAATCAGTTAGGAACTGCTTCTAATTTTTGAATTCTGATGTAGATCATTCTATCATTATTAAAGTAATTCTTATAATATTTTGTGTTATTCCTATAGATCATAAAAGTAATTGCATTTACGTCATACGGATATTGATACTTGGAAAATTTACAAAAAGGTCATTCACATAGGTAGTTACAGGGAGACATCAGAGTCCATTTGAGTGATCGGTTAGGATGAAAGATTAACGAATTACTACGAAGAGATCAAAGTCTCACTTCCACAGAATGGAATGTGATCCCTAGGAAAGATGAGTTATGGGGAAATTATGGCATCTCTGTTCCACTGACTAATTTAATATATTTTTTGGGATAGACTTTAGAGAGAAGCGAGTGCCATCATGCGCATAATTCAGAAACCAACCCGCGGATCTAGCCCTGACTATTCCAACTGGACTCGGCCAACTGAGCTGTCAGTGTTCTCCTGAGATCGATCAGAAGATTCGGAATTGCCTAAGAAATTACTAGCGAGTTCAGTGAATGACCCCATAGGTCAGTCCCGCAGGACAGAAATCGCATTACACAATAATGCATTTAAGCAATGAAGTAATGAAACGAATTATTCTTTTATTCTAGTGGATTATACGTGAATTTCCCGAATTGAAGTAAGAAGTATGAAGTGTCTAATCAAAACAAAATTCATTGATATATCAAGTATTTGCATTAACTATAATCCACTAGGCACTCAGCGAGCTGTTTTGAGAGATCTTGGCACTTATTGGAACTTCTCGTTAGCTTCTGAGCAAAGATGAATGATTGCATCACTAATTTTGTTGCCCACGCTCACTTCCCACCCTCACAGAGTCCACCCTCCGCCACTTGCTCATTTTGTTTCCTGCTAAAAAAGTTTGACCTTTGGAAAATTTCATTGCTTTTTGCTTTTATGAGACTATGGGGGTGGGAATAACTT